TTGAAGTTGTCACACAAATTGAAGAGCCCATAGTTTTACGCAGCGTCCGAACGGCAAATGGATTTTTTATGAAAAGATTTTTCATGGCAGAAATACACTCGGAGGTTTGCCATTGCCTGCCGAGGTGCGACCGCTGTTAGAAAAAAAAACTTTTTTTATACCCAAGCGCATTTGTGCACAAGGGTATTATAACTTTGTTCACATAACGGTTGTTTGTAACAGGCAAAACGAATCGAGATAGATCCGTCCGTCCGTCTGTCCGTCCGTCTGTGCACACGATAACTCGAGTAAAAATTAAGATATCTTAACGAAACTTGGTACGTGTACTTCTTTCAGGCGTAGGACGGATGGTATTGAAAATGGGCAAAATCGGACAATAACCACGCCTACCTCCCATATAACGGTAATTTTCAGAAACACGAAAACTGCGATATTTTAGTAACTACTGAAGATTAATCACTCAAAATTGATATTTACAATAACTTTTAGACGAAAAATAAGAATATTATGAATTTTTGAAAAATGGGCGTAGCCACGCCCACTTATAGTTACATGTGTATATCTTGGCAACCGCTGCACCGATTTCTTCCAAACTTAGCACAGTTGTTCGCCTTGGTACAGCATACCAAATGGCTGGAAATTTTTAAAATCGGACAATAACCACGCCCACATTCCATATAAGGGTAATTTAGAGAAATACGAAATCTTCGATAAATCAGTAAATATTAAAACTAAATTATTCAAAATTGATGCTCGCACAATTCTTTACCAAGAAATACGTTTATGGTTAAGTTTTGGAAAATGGGCGTGGCACCGCCCACTTATGACCACATATATGTATATCGGTAACCGTTCTATCCATTTGTACCAAACTCGGTATTTTTATTGTTCTTGCCTCATTATTGAAATCGGACGAAAATTACGGCCGCTTTTCATATAACGGTAAATTTCAGAAATGCTTGAATATGCAATATTTCGAAATTTAAAGACGCTAATTTACTCAAAATTGATACACCCCGGCTTACCATGTAGGGGTAGCTTTCGGAAAGGTGAAAAACATGTATTTAATACTTGCGCCGGGTATTTAATGTTCGGCTCTGCCCGAACTTAGACTTTCTTACTTGTTTTAATTTTAGATGTTTCCCGAACCCAAGTCCTTTGGAGTGGTAATAGACACATCTGACCACTCAGCCACAATGGCCGTCTATACATATGTATATATCTTATTTTCTAATTTATTTAACTCAGTACTTTTCGGTCACCTTTACCTTTTGCCAGTTCAACCTCAACGCTTTCATCTAAATATCACAAAAACTGGTATTATATTTTTAAATTAGTCATAAATTCACATTTGTTATAAATTTGTTCAGCAAATACAAACAAAAAATTGCCTAACCTCCAATTAGAGCAAATGAAGTCGAGTGTGGCGCCAGAGAATAGTAATTTAATATTAGCAATTAGTACGGCTTTTAATGCCAAATTTATGAAGCTTATGCACATACCTATCGTAGATCTTCTTTAATAACGACACAACGCAAATTATAACAATTTTCAAAAGAGCCAATTAAAGTTTTAGCACTTGACAATTTTGTAGGGAAAATTTTTAAGCTCTCAAATTATGACTGCTTTGTAAAGATTTAGTAAGGATTTGAGTGAGAAATGTGCCACTCTTCAATAGTAAGGATTGCCCACTTCGGTTTGCTGACAAATGTCACACTTGCACCCCCTGGTTACCTGAAATTATAAAGTTGTGTCGTTATTGCCGAGTACCATCGATATATAAGCACGTATGTATATTTGGGTTTAAGTTAATTTTTTTACCGTCGCAATTATTGCGAATCAGTTCTCTATTCAAATGAATGATTCATTAAAGTGGAAAGCAATCAAAATGAAACTGAAAAAGTAAAAGTAATTTCATTTTTAAAACTAAATAAATTAGCGCTAGTTAATTACCATTAACATAAGCCTTTGAATATACGTAAATATTTATTTATGTTTATTTATTAACTAATATATTAAGGAATACATAGTATGTAAGCCTATTACTTAGGTACTGTACATTTTTATGGGAGTAACCAACTAGAGAAGGTAGATAATGGAATGTCATGCTTGGAAATATCAATGCTCGTTGGAAGCATGCCATTAATTCGGCTAGAATACATATTTATGTATATGGGGAGTTCCATACCAAAGTCGACGAGGTTGAAACTTCATGTGTTTGATTTGTATCAAAATTTAATAGTAATATCTCGAGAACGGGGCGAGGAAAAAATTTGAAAAAAATCACACATACACATCAAAATTTTCTATGAAAAGAAATATTCTTAAAATTTTGTTTTTCTTGAAAAATTCTTCACATACAAATTTTTTGAAAAAAAAATTTGTTTTTGAAAATATGCCACCTCAAAAAAATTAAAAAAATCACAATGGTAGCGCTGAGTATTGCGCAATATTTAATTATAGTATCATGGGGTGCACTCTACAATAATTTGAGTTATGAATTTTTTTTTTAACCGAAGTTAAGTAAAATGAGTACATTACGAATTTACAAATTTTTTAAGTTTTGCAGCTTATTAAATTTTAGTATGATAAAGTTTTAAGCGATTACAAAACTGGCGCTAATTTTTTTTTCATTTTCTTTGAAAACGTGTAAAAAGGCGTCAGCATAAAAAATATTAAACATCAACGCGATTTTGCAGTAGCTTAAAAAAAATTAAAAAATTTGTAAATTTGCAATGCACTCATTTTACTCAACGTCCGTGTAAAAAAAAAATCATAACTCCAATTATTGAAGAGTCCACCCCATAATACTACACTTAAATATTGCGAAATACTCAGAGCTACCATTGTGATTTTTTTTTCAATTTTTGTTGAGATGGTATATTTTCAAAAACTAATTTTTTTATCAAAAAATTTGAATGTAAAAAATTTTTCAAGAAAAAAAATTTTTTTAATATTTCTTTTCATAGAGAATTTTGATGTGTGTATGTGTGATGTTTTCGCAAATTTTCACATGAAGTGGGGGCTCACACCATCCATTCTGGTATGGAACGCCGCATATACATACTATGCACACACATGTACATACATATCTAAGCCTCTGCCTGAAAATTCTCCATTACTGGAGAAAAGAAACAAACAAATATTAACAAAAAATGAATTAAAATACGGAAGATAACGAATATTAAAACCGTAGACAAAAATACGCAGGGCCACAATGGGAAATTGAGTTAGAGCATCTCTGAGCTCAGTTGATCTGTACGTTTCTGGAATCGCTGTTCACCATCCCGGTATCCATATGACCACATCACGTCTCGATCGATTTCGAGATATTCAGAAACAACGTATTTATGATCTGCTTTACTTTTTAGATACATACATAGCTAAATGAAGAATGAAAAAAGCACAAAATTTTGTAAGCGCTCCTTTAAGTCACGCCCGCATGCACCCTGAATGCGATCTTGGATCTATTTCCGCTTGATCGAATTGCACCGAGGGGATGTTTTCGCAGAAGTAAGACTCAAAGAATTTCTGAGCATTCAGGTATTCAGAAGGAGGCAGCACGGAAGCTAACTCAGCGACATAGAGAGAACAAACGTGACTTTATCTGGTGTGACAGTCAGGTAGATCTCAAAGCTTTACACTCACATAAAGACAATGCAAATTCCCTTACTCTCATCCCGATAATCCCGATTAATCTGACTAATACAGGTGGTTGAATGCATGAATATTAAGATGAATTTTGAAAGGGGCGAATTTGCAAGGTAAGATGCGATGACATCCTTCTAAAAAAAACACGGTCGATAAATTAATGGCTCATTTTTAACGATATTTAAGAAATCACACGGCTCATTTAGCCAATGAACGAGAAAACTCTTAAATTACGACCCTTTAAGAAACAGGCTGTAACCCGGAATTTACAATTTTTAAATTCAAGAACTAAAAAGAAAACATTATTAAAAATTACTAACTTTTCCATTTCCTATTTACCTAAATTATTTCTTAAAAATTCTCGACAGCCGGATTCGCATCCACGGATGTCTAAAATTCGACATTCGCAAAATCCCTATAAAGTAGTTTCTTTCACAAAGCAAAATCATCGGTATTATGGACTGTAATTTTGCGTTTAATCAGCAAAAATTATTTACAAAATTGTTCACTAATTAAGCAACAACGTTTATAATTAGTGCATAATATATGTTTTGTGTAAATTAAAAACAGATTAAGGCTTATTTGAAAATCAAAAAATTATCGAGTGTGAAGTACATATGGAATACAATAAGTATAGGCAGCCGTGGCAGTGACAAAATCATGCTGCGGAACTAAACAAATTTACTCTAATGATAAGATCAGCAAAAAAAGGTTGGCCAATTAAAAGCGCGCAAAAATGTATAAAAGAAAAGTTTTACAATTTAGCAAAAAAAAAAAGTAAAAATACATATGTAAATTTACGTGTAAAATCCCAACTTAATCAAAAGCTAATGGCATGACTAGCGAGAATGTTGACATCAAAATTTAGTATAAATGCGAGCACATCACAGTAATTCGAACAGCAGCATTCTACAGTTCGCAGAGTAAACATCTCTAAAAAGTATTTTTCCGCAAACAACAAATTTTTTAAACAAAATGAAGTCCTTCATAACCATTGCGTTCGTGCTGATATCCAGCGTTGTTGTAATGGTAAGCAAAAAAAAAATAAAAAATTTAAAACGAAAATTAATATTCGTTCTTCCCAACGTAGTGCGAGCCACCCAATCCACAGATGCGCCAATACATCGAGGACTGCAATAAGGAGCACAATGTTTCTCCAAAGGATTTCCATGAATTCAATGAGGGCAAATTATCCTCACCTTCGGAAGACTTAAAATGCTCCATTCATTGCTTCATGGTCAAGCAGGGTTCTATGGATGAAGCGGGTACCTTCAAGCCGGACGTAGCCAAAACTGGTATGCCCAATGACGATAAGTTTGCTGCAGCTGTGGATGCTTGCAAGGATAAAACTGGTTCTTCGGCGTGTGAAACAGCTTTCAAAATCACTCAATGTTTAATATCGCACAAGTAAATTGGAGCGTGTGACTTATGGCGATTTCGGTTCTACAAAAAATGTTGCCTTCTCCTCGTTCTCTTCTTAGTGTTTGTGCG